AATGTTACATGTAAGCTTGAAAGAAGTTCAATTTGGACTTTATTTTGTTAATATAAAACAAAATATTTAACTCCTTCGATATTCTCCCCTTTACAGAGAAAATAAGCAACTCTTATTTCTTGTAGTAGTTTCTCAGCTAGTTGAGTGAGATTTTAGAAATAGTTCTTATTAATGTGTCAAGGTGGACATGTAATGCACAATTACAAAGTAGCATTTTTCTTTTAGATCGCATTGCTGCTTTAAATCAGGGGCAAGTTTTTTCGTTGGCCTGGGTGAGAACTCAATAAGGAGCTGGTATGACATTTTGGGTAACAGTTCTCTGTTCATTTAAAATAGCAAAAGGTAGATTTAAAATGAAAACATTCAGCCCTAGCTGAATGAAAGCTTCAAACTTACTTTAGTTTCTAGTAAGCTTTCTTTTTTTTTACCTAAAGTTGAGTCTGTTGTAAATGGCATAAGAAAAGTGTGGTTTGCTTATCTTTCCCTACCTCACTTATTTACCTTTCCCCATGTTCATTTTGGGGGTAAAAAATGTTTTTATTGACTTGAGGGAGAAAAGGAGAGAGGGGGAGAGGGAAACATCAATCCATTGCATTCCGACTATGGATAGAACCTGCAAGCTGGGTATATGCCCTAACCGGGTATTGAACCAGCAACCTTTCAGTGCATGGGACAATACTCAACCAACTGAATCACATTGGCCAGGGCTTCTCCTATATTCTTAACTAATTTCTGAACTCTTTAGGCCTGCTAGTATGGAAGTGGAGAAGGAAAATCCGTAATTGCCAATTCTCTCTTGGTGATCTAGCATTGGAGTTTCCTGTATGTGACTATATGTTTAAAGCTAACTGTATCTTATGCACGCTTTTGTGGTTGAGAGAATCTGCTTCCACAGTCACTTAGTGCTGCTGTGGGTGATTCACCTGCAACTCTCTTGATGAGGATACATTCATCATTTACTTCTTTAATTCCTAGGCCTTTAGGGATACCTCCAGCTTCCTAATGAGGATTGTTTATCCTTACTAGCCAGAAACTAATATAACCCTTTAGGTTACCAGGTTGATGAAGTTCCCTTCCACTCAGTGTACTTACACTTTTTAAAAATGAATACTATTAGATTTTTTCAGATGCTGTTTCTCTAATTATATGACCATATGATTTCTCTTTGGTCTGTTGAGATGGTCAATTTTAATAATTTCTTTTATTGTAAAATACACATACCATTTATCACTTTTAAGCCTATAGTTTAGTAGCAGTAAGTACATTCTCATTGTTTTACAACTGTTACCATGTCTAGAACTTTTCATTATCCCAGACTGAAACCATAACTCCCTATACTTTTCTTTACCCAAACTCTGATCACCACTGTTATACTTTTCTGTTTGTTTATTCTTTTTAATTTTTAACTTCTTTAAAAATACTCACCCAAGAATATTTTCCCCCCATTTATTTTTTCGAGATAGTGGAAGGGAGAAAGGAGGGGGAGAGAGGGAGAAACATGGGCTTGAGAGAGAGACATCGCATGTGCACTGACCAGGGCCAGTTCAAACCTGCAACTAAGGCATGTGCCCTTGACTGGGAATTGAACCTGTGACCCTTTGGTCTGTAGGCTGATGCTCTAGCCACTGAGCAACAGGTCAGGGCTTTGTATGTTTATTTTTTATATCTATCAATTTTGGCCATTTGAAATCTTCTTTGGAGTAATGTCTATTCAAGTTCTTTGCCCATTTTTGAACTGTTTTTTGTTTATTTTCTTGCTTTTGAGTTTTAGGAATTCTTTATTCTGGATATTAATCCCTTATCAAATATGATTTTTAAATGTTTTATCCCATTCTGTAGGTTGCCTTTTTATAAAAGTTTTTAACTTTTATAAACTCCAATTATTTATGTTCCTTGTGGCTTTGGTGTCATATTTCATTGAATGGTTATAATTGTTCTAATTTATTATTAGTTACTAGAGGCCTGGTGCACAAAATTCATGCACGGTGGGGAGAGGTCTCCAATCGGACCTCCTGGCGGATGTCTGACTGCCGGTCGGACCTAAATCGGCAGTCAGACATCCCTCTCACAATCCTAGACTGCTGGCTTCTTACCGCTCACCTGCCTGCCTGATTGGTTCTAACTGCCCCCTCTGACAGCCTGATCACCCCTCACTGCCTCTGCCTGTCGGCCTGATTGCCATCAACTGCCCCCGCCCACCCCCTCTGCCAGCCTGATTGTCCCACGCAGCCTGCTGTTCAGTCATTTGGTTGCCCCACACAAACGCCTCTGCCAGCCTGGTTTCCCCATGCAGCCTGCTGCTCAGTTGTTTGGTCACCCCGCACTAACCCCCCTGCCCCACACAGCCTATTTGGTTGTCTGTTCGGTTGTGACGTCGCTTAGGCTTTTATATAGATTGTTGTTAATCTCTTACTGTGCCTTATTTATAAATTAAACTTTATCATAGGTATGCGACTTCAGTTACATATTAGTCTGCTTTATACTGTCTGATAGACCACTG